CCCGAACGGGCACGCCGGCAACGTCCTCGGCCAATCCGCGGCTGCGATTCACGAATTAAACGCCGGTCAGCTGGGCATTACCAGCCAACAACAATTACACCTGCAGCAGCAACAGCAACAGCAACAACAACAACACCAACAGCAGCAACAGCAGCAAATGGGTCAAGCACCCGGTATGGGTGAGGTACTCACCCCGAAGAGGCAGGCGATCGTAGACCGCCTGCGACGAAGACTCGAGAGTTACCGGCGCAGACAAAACGACTGCATCCCCAGGTTCGATCAGAGTTTCAACGGATTGTGCGAGCAGAACATACAGGACACCTTGGTGCTGAAGCAACGCTTCCTCGAGAGCAAGGCCAAGCGGCAAGCCAAGAAGACGGACAAGAAGCAGAACGATCCGATCGGTCTCTCCAACGTTCACATGGTGAGACTTTTTCATCTCTTTCACTCTCTTGCTCTCTCTCTCTGTCTTCTTCGTCTACTCCTTCTCTTCTTTTTCTTCTTCTGCTTCTTCTTCTGCTACTTCTTCTGCTGCTTCTTCTGCTCGGTTCTTTCGTCGTACCGAACAGGCGTAGGTGTTCCTACGCCGCTGTGGGAATTCGAACTTGTTACAAAGTCGGCCGTCGGCGTCCCTCCTTCCTTCCTTGCTTCCTTCCTTCCCCTCTGGGTCTCTTCGCCCTGGAGATGGAAGCGCGCGCGAGTGACGCTCCTCGCGTTTCGCGGCGAACGAACGTGGCTGATATATATTCAATATATGTTACCTGCGTCCGGAAAAAATCCCGAGATACTCGTACGAAATTTTGCTACGGTCCTTCAGTAGGTTACAACATGTGGATGATTTTTTCAGTATTTTCAAGCGCTCAAAAACGATATTATCCTTCCAAAAAACGCGCGTCACATTGACGAACACACGTGATAACGCTCCATCACCGCATATCTGCTGCATAAAGTTCAGTATACGAAAAAAAGTTTCGGTAGTACTTCTTCCAAAACTTTTCACAAATTTCGTGTTTCTCTTGTTAAATTTTTGGAAGATACAAGTTGCGATGCAAACATATTGGAGAAGCGAATAAACCTAGTTCGTAGAACTGCGAAAGCAGAATTGATTGATAGTATTTTTGGTCTGTATACGATAAATTCAGTCTCGAAAGTTTCTGGGAAGAAACATATGTTGCTGCGTATTTGATGCAAACATGCCAGCAATTAAATAAAGAAGTATCTCTTTTATAACTTATTCGATCGGTATTAAAACGGATTAAGAAGTCTATATATATCGATATAATAAGGTATTCGCTGAGAATATCTGAATTTTATACGCATATTAACATTATTCAGCACTAATTTATTAAGTTGAATTATTTTGGTAACAAATAACGTGTTTGTATCAGTCGGACTAAAGAAAAGCAATTGCGTAAGGTTTTAATTTTTTAATGCCAGTGGTGTAGAAATTTCTTTTAAAAACAATTTTTAATCTATAACAAAAAATTAATTATTTTTTAGACAAGAATGTACATATATAAACATACATATACATATATATATGTGTATACATACATATAAACACATACATATGTCTTCCACTCTAACTGCTTACCTTGAATATTTTGTAAATGACATTTACATGTTGTAGATAAAAGTTATATAGTCTGAAAGGGGATAACTAATAATAAAAATTTTCGAAAAAATTGAATTTTTAAGGAGATCCTAAAGTTTGTATTACCAAGTAAACCATATAATTTTTGTGTAACAATTTATTTTTTATTTCTTTAGGATTTCCTCAAAAAAAAGTCACATATAAAAGTTATCATTATTTTTTATATATAATAGAATTATATGATTTTTTTACATAATATAATTCTTTTAGTTATTCCGCATATAAAAGAATTAAATACTATATAATTATCGAAAATTTAATAAATTATGATATATTTTAATTTTATTCTAGCATATTTTACGATGAAATATCTCGTAAACTATTCATTTTTTGCTGCTTGGACATTTTTATGCATAGAATATGTCATGAATCAATATAGTAAACACATAGAATGTCTCAACATTGTGTAGGCAGTTGCAAGAGTTAACTACCTGAAAAAAATGTGTTGGTCGCTTAAATTTGGTTTGGTATTGACATATTATTATCTGTGGATACTGAGAGAGCAATAAATTTTTTTCTAGTACTCTCTTCACTCTTGTATCGCCTGCACGTTGAAAGGTTTCATTATTATCCTTATACTTATTTTGCAAGTAATAAATTTGAAACGTGTGTATATTTCGAGAACAACAAATTCAAATAATACTTTGGTACCAATTTTAAGCGAGCAACAAATTTTTATACTGATACTTTTGCACTGCTTGCACGCTAAAAAGCTTTTTCGTTGTTAATTACACTTGGTTATTTCACAAGTAATGAATTTGAAACTTGAATATTTCGAAAGCAACAAATTTAGACAACACCGTGTGGTATAAATTTTAAGACGTCTGTGAAGCTAATACCTCTACCATTAAAAAAAAAGTACGCCAGTATGCCATAATTAAGTGCTGATTTATTGCTCTAATCCCGAATTTATTGCTCTTTTCCATTCGCAGGAATTTAATTTTAAAAGTGGGGGTGACGTACACTAATAAATTCATAATCGGAATATTCTTAGAGCAATTATTTCTAGAAACATTTTAAGACCTAAACTAACCCAGCAATTAATTCTTTTAATATACCTTATTCTCTTATAACGTGAGTTAGCACCACTACACTTCTGGTAAGGTTTTTTTTTAACTCAAACAATGAACAATAAATTTAGAATCAAGATATTCTTAGAGCAATTAATTCTAGAAACATTTTAAGACCTAAGCTAGCCCAGCAATTAATTGTTTTAATGTACCTTACTCTTGTACGCGAGCTAGCACCGCTACATTTCTGATGAAGTTTATTTAACTTAAATAATGAGCACAATAAACTCAGAATTAGGGTATTTTTAGAGCAATTAATTTAAACTTGATATAGGTGATTCTGAGAGTACTTTTCGATGGTTAAGGATGGGACGTCTAAATCAGATTTTATCAAAATGCCAAATAATAAAATCAGAAGGATATAATACGTCGCGATATTTGAAATGATTTTTCTGGAAAAACATGATACAACTAACTTAATGATGGAACAACAAAACAGCACTGAGGATATGTTTTGTTTTTTTTAATTTAATCTTTTCTATGGCTGTACTAATTAGCAATTTAAATTCACTCAGCTACTGTTTTTATCAACTTAATTAAAGAAATAAAATTGCAAATAAGATAATAAAATAGCAATAAAAAGATATTAAAAAATTTATGTTTATGTATTATTATGTTAGTTACAAATACCTGTATCAGTTTGATCGACGTTAATTTATATATAACAATATGTAGGATTTTTCACAAGTATTAGCAGCATATTCAAATAAAATTCTACTACTACTAAGTAAAAATATGAATTTTTTCAAACATAATTTTATTTCTCTCTCTTTCTCTTTAAAGTAAGCTGATTGCTATTCGATCGTGCAAGCGTATAAACTAAAAAAAAGCTTGTTTATGCTTTGATAGGAATCGAATAAAAGAGACTTTAGAATTTTTTTGTTTAATCGTGTTAATTAATCGTGTTTTTACTACGTTTGTCGACTAAATCGATGAATTGAACATGGCGTTAAAATCAAGATGAAACAGGTGGACGTATGGAATCGTTAAGGTCGTAGGTCGTGTCCGTGCTAGTTTCCCGTAGGCGTTCGATTCGAGACGTCCCTGCGTTAACCTTGGCTTTACGTCAATGCAGGGGCGTTCTTACGATCGCCCTTGTTACTCGTAACGTCATTGTTACGAACGTCTCACTCAAAATTACTTTTTCACATATTTATGCATCCTATACAAATATTTATCTTCTAAAACAAATGGAATTATGAAAATAACAAATTATAATAGATGGTCCAAGATGCATTGACGCACAGTTTTGCGATGTACGTAATTAGTTCAAACATTTATGTTTCAGGAAACGCAAAATATTTTATAATTATTTTATAAAAATGAAGAGATTAAATAATATTTTAATTAAAAAAAACGTTTCCAAAAAGTGTCTGCTAAAAATATTGTCGAACACAATAGTTTCAAAGCAAACATTATTAATGTGAAAAATATTGCTCAAAGTAAACACATTATATCGAAACATAAAATTATTAGGAAAACATGCGATGTATTTGTGTGATTAATTCACACGGTATGAATTGACACAGTAACTATAGTGTATTTATTAATCTTTGATAGAACACTGCAGTTTATCGAATCGATCATCGGCAACTGGGATTGCTTTAAAATTTCACTTGAAATAATTTGTTGAAAGCAATTGTCTATTCGAGTATGACAAAACGCGCTCTTTTGTTTGCCGTAATTATTACGTTGTCAACAAGGGTATATGATATTAAGTAATACGTAAATGCAAACGCGTCACCGTGGGGGCGCGCTTTATAAATGTCGCGTGCGGCGCAAAGATGAACGATAACAACTTCCCCGCAGCGGATGACGTCGGGTCATCGGTGTACTGTATGTGTAACGTGACGTATGCACACCCGTCCTACGAATCACCGTCAGCCATAAAGGTGATAGGTAACACACTCGCGTCATACGAAACTGTTACCAAGTTGGTATAATTAATTCGCGCGTTCGTAGGAAAGACTGAGGTTACGATATATAAAATGGCGGAGAGATCGCAGGAACGTTTATCAATGAACTGAACTTGATACCGGAAGTTAGAAGTACATAGCTCGCGAGATTTCGTATTCTTGTCGATTGTATGTATTTGCTTTCGTTAATGAAGAGAATAAAACTCTATATGATGATACTAGAGAGACGAACGTATCGATTACTTTGGAGATGTGTAGGTATAGAAAACAATTTCCTTAACGTTTTTATTAATTTCACCAGTCATTGTCAAATTTTTTCATACGTCTTGTGATATTTCAGCAATTTAAAAAAATAACATATTGTTATTAAAAAAAATCTAAGAAATAATAATTTCCTTATTCACGAATAGAATGTACTTGCATTATATACGAGTGGAAAATTATTTTCTTCATTCGCTATCTGTAGTCATAATGTTTACAAGTCTAATTCAGGTATATAAGATTAACGTATCTGAGATTTAATCAATGCAACGTCATTTCGCCAAGGAACAAAGTCACCCGTGCCAAGCAGCTTCGTGCTCCGTTCTCGTGATATCGTCCGATTGATAACACAATGTTATCACCAACGTGAAACGGTGGAGTTGGACGCGTGAGGTGGGAGGGAATCGACAGGAAACACTACTCGACACGATGTAACAGGATCGCCGATAATCACGCGTACTCGCACTCTCTCTCTCTCTCTCTCTGATTCCAAAGCTACCTCGCGTACGCGCACGTGTCCAGG